GGTGAAAAATGGACAGGTCAGCACCCACAACAGAATATCTATTCAGAAACAGACCTGAGCTCCATCAAGATAGCGTCGAGTCGCCTGCATTTTGATTAGCATACAAAATGAGATGGATATGCCTCACTGGGATCAGTCAGGGTGATAGCAGTCTCAGGGGGAAACAAATACTAGTTCCTGTCTGGGCCTGGATGAACTATCACTCCTCAATTAGATGGTTTCAATGCATATCTTTAAGAGGGAGTTAATAGCTTTTGAAATAAGGTGCTTAGTTCAATTGCAGAGTGGTGGATAAGATTAAAAATACTCCTCTACATGTACAATTAACATAAAGCAAAAAGACAATTGTCCATCCATCGTCTCTACCGCTTATACAATTCGGTGTCACATTTGCTTTACCCGGTCCCAGCTGCCATTGTGCGAGACGCTGGGTTCTAGACTGTTTACCAGTCAATCACAGGCTGACTGGCACTCTTCTTTATTTTATGTTGTGTCTTGAGTGTTTTGCACGCCAGCATGCCATAATATTCAGGTGTTTATGAGTCCTCTTCATGCCTGAGTGAGACTCTTAAAAAGCCCTTCTATGCGTAATATGAGCGTGTTCGTGTGAGATATTCTGTTTTCCATGCACACAAAGAGCGATGACTGATAAGACGGCGATTGTCTACCCGGCATGTCTGCTTTATTTGAATGTCTTTGTACAGTGTCAGTTCACTCTAAGTACTTACAGACAACAGATAGACTGGCTTTCTTCCCAGCGCCTCGTCCGACGAGACAGTGAGGAAAGACCTTCATGCTCATGACATGAATTCAGACGGCTTGACATTTACAATAAAATAAAACCTGCCAAAATAGTTGTTTTGATAGAATAAACTGACTGTAAACGGTTAACTGGTGCCAATATTTCTATCCCTGTGTTTTGCCTAATTAAACAGACTGTCAGGAAAGAATACTGTATCATCTTTTCATCTCCACAAAATATGCAGAATACACACTGTTCTGACCTGTCCTTTCTGCTTTAGACAGCAAACTTTCCTTGAAGAACACTGATTTATCTCTCTGACTGAGAAGAAAAAGCTGAATCTATAATCTTGTACATGCTGAAGACTTTTTTGACACCAAGTTTGTCAGAAACATGCAAACTGCTGCGGACTGAAGAAAACCATAAAACGACTGACGGCACAGTTCTACTGTCGACCTGCTGACTTGTAAAAACTTCACTGGTGTGGTTACCTAAATCAAAGCTACAAAGGCTGACTAATAAGTTACACAAATCAGGGAGAGAAAGATAAGAAGAGATTTGTAGAAAACAGAATAACCTCGAATGAGTCAAAGGACCAAGAAGGAAGTGTTATTTTATTTTATTATTATGCTTATATTAAAGAAAAAACCTGCCATCACAAAGTAACTATATCTTAATGATCTTATCTTTTGTACACAGTTAATAAATGGACTCTGAATTAAACGTTTTAGTGTCAGACTGCAATTTCAAGAGTTAAAAGTGAACTTGTGATGTAAAAGGATTTTTACCCTTTGTCCTTGGATAAAGACTGGTATAGGGGGGCATTAGTTAGTGCGCACGCCTCATGAACAGAGGCTGTACGCCAAATCTGACCTGTGGCTCCTTTCCTGCATGTCATTCCCCACTCTCTCTCTCGTCCTTTCTCTAAATAAAAAGGCATAAAAGGCCCAAAAATACACTTTAAAAAATAGTTTAGAGTAATTAAATGAAATATAAATTTGAAGGTAGCTCTGTGTTGAGTCTATGGTAAAGTAATTTGCGCTAAATTGTATTAACCAAGCTGGGTTTTCTTTTTTTTTTTTATATGTGGAGATATTTTTTAAAAAAAAGCCTTTATAATATCTGTTGTGATCAGGGGAAATTGATGTTAAATTGTTCAACCTTTTCTCATATCTTACTGTTCTAAATCAAAATCTGCAGATTATTCAATGACGATTATCATTCGCATGCTTAGTCAAAACAGAACGGTGAAGGGTTTTTTTTTTTTTTGGGCAGCGATGAATGACAGTAAAGGTAAAAGCTAGAGCGAATAGGTCCAGAGAAAGGGAAGAAAAACAGAAGAAGAGGATGGGGAGGTGGGCTCTTCAGGGGTCAAACCAGGACTGAATGGCAGATGAGGGAGAGTAAAGGAGCCCCCGTTATGTAGCCGAGCTCGCTCTCTGTCGTCTGAGCTTCTGGTCAGATACAGAGCTGGTTGCGATGGAGACACACCACCTTCAAGGAGGATGATGATGGCTCACACTAATCAACCCATTCATGCCTGTGACGTGAGCAGCAGGGATGTCAGTGACGTGTGTGTGTGTGTGTGTGTGTGTGTGTGTAAGAATGGTACAGTGTAGCTTCATCTTTCTAACCCGCCTTGTGCTTTTTATCTTTTTTATAACAAAAGCTCTTGATGTAGCTCCACAGGTTACCTCGACATATAGACTCCGACTATAATGGTGTCCACTGCTGGGCATGTCAGTGCCAACTGTCCTGTCAGTATGTTTCCTCCTCCCTTAGTGACAATGAAATCACAGAGACCATCTCCCTCCTCCCATTGGCTGCTGAGCTCCATGGTGATGCCCTCTGATTGGGCCAGGCCAGCATGCACTCCCGGCCAATCAGGTTCACTGTATCCAAGAGACTGAAGCATGTAAGGCTATTTAAATCCGACCAGAGACTCACAAGATTGTTCAGATGTATATTTCACAGTGGAAAAAAGGGGAAAAAGGTTCATGAGTGGACGAATATGAAAATCCACACGGACCTGATTGGTGTTCAGAGCGGTCGGCCCACGTAGACGGGTTGAGGAGACCCAGAGCGAAGCATGAGTTGAATGAATGAACTTCTGCGTGACTCGCTCATTCTGAACCCTCTAGTTTATCCATGAACATCCACCACATTCTGTCCCATCTCTGCACTGATGCCTGAGTCGCTCGTTTCATGGAGCTTGAAGAGAGCAATGATGGCACGGTCAGATCAAATGGACAACGGAAGTAGAAGCTCAAGTTGTTTTTTTTTCTTCTTCATTCTCCGGTATATGTATGTATGTGTGTCGGGGGGGGGGGGCAGAGAGCTGTTGGTTTGTCATGGTGTTTCCGGAGCAGGAATGTTACAACAAAGAGTAACTTGCAGTGGAAAGCAACTCGAGAGTGCAACTCGCACTGACGAACACAACGTACGTAAGTCTGTGGCCATTTTGAGTCCACTCATTTTTTTTTTTTTTTTTTGAAACGTCACACTTTCTACAAAATGGCGGACAAATCTGAATGTTCACCTCGCAACACACTCGACTTACGTAAGACAAAAAGGGATTTTGTTTACAGAGAACATTTCTTATTTTCACAGTGTAGAAGTTTTTGATTTCATGTATATTGCTTGAATTAGTGTAATATTTCATTTCTCTGTTATGCTTTGTTGAATCATGTTTTTTTTCCCCCAGTTACATTTGGTATATGACAAAACTGAAAAATGGCTGCCTACTTGTTTGTTACATGTTTTTTTTTTTCTTATTGGCCAAACTCTTCTTTTCGCCACACATACGCACACGTACATGTCAATAGAGAACAAATGATCAGGCTTACAGGATTACAGAGACTGACCCATGTGTCTTTCACATGTCCGAGAGCGGACGTGAAAGTAGGCTACAGCTCCGACTGCTGCTCCCAACCACAGAAAGAATCACACCGAGCCAAGTCAAAGAGAAGAAAATGTACTTACAACTGAAAGTTACACTTGATTTTAGGACAATGAACACGGCTTCATTCTGCATAACTCATCTAATCGTGTCAATGTTTTTAAATGCTTTTACAGCCAAATTTGGACTTTTTACGTCACCAGCGCTCTTTATTACTTCCTACATTAATCGGTAAAGGATTATTTGTGACTTAATTTTTGGTAAACAGATTTATTCACACAGGCTTAAATAATACAGAAAACATCCATCTGTTGTATTCTATTGCACTTTTGACCAAAACTTTCATTTAACACATGGGCTTCGCTGGTTGTTGTTGAGATCATGTTATAAATGATTTTCTAAAGTTTCCTCTAATATTTTTTTTTTTTTTTGAGAGAGATAGATTCAACACATCTTGGTTTACATTTATAGGATAGTTACACCTTTGCCACTGTATACTTCTAGTTGAATACGTTTTAGGTTACATGTTATTACTTAGGGCTTAACTCACATAATTTATCATCTTAAATCACAAGTAACTTCTCAGATTAATACACTTGATACAGTTTAAATTAACCGATGGATTATGATGGGAATTTGAGCCTGATTTGAGTTTAAACTAAGTAATATTAGTGCCTCCTTTAACAGGTACAAAATTAAATTTGCCAATACTTGAATGTATCACTATTTAAAATCCAGTTATAGCCTATAGGCTAAGGTTATTGTCTCCAATAGGAGAAAAAAGTCTTGGAATTTATGGAATTGCTTGATCCAGGCCAAACATTAAAAAAAAAAAAAAAACATCAAATAAAATGCAAGAACCCATTTCCAAAACGACTCTATGATGAAATAACATCGAAAATTTGTAAAGAAGTCATTCACTGTCAAATAGGTCATTGCACATGATGAGGACTTGTACTTTTTGATTGAGTATTCCAAGTTTAAGCTCCCCAACAGGAGCCTTTTTCCCCCTTTACGTGGAATCACATCAAGTTGAATTTCATACTTGTATTTTTGTTCTTAAAGGAACGATTCTAAATGCAAGATTAATCAGCTTTAGTTTACCAAAGAAACTTGAAACTGTATTCATGCTACTTTAGGCTTGATAACGACTTAGATGTATCTTCTTCCATCATTGTTTATTGGGTCCTACATATCAGGACGACAGGTTCACAGCTAAAACATACCGAACGAGATGTAAATCTTTAGTAGGCTACTTACACAATCCGGTGAAGATGAAGTCTCCACCAGGCCTCCTCAACTAGTGGGCGCGCGTCACCGTCTGGCGCGAGACTGCCTCTCTCTGAAGGTCGTGCACGCGCCTTCCTGTTGTTGTTGCGTTCAAGCTGCGAAAGGGGGGGGAGACAACTTTTGGGTACCATGGTCGTTTTGTGTTGTCTATGGATGCTTAAGGTAACAGTCGGAGCGTAAACTGTCCCAACTATCCATGGAGGATTTTACGGTAAGCTTTTTGGGTTCCTTCCTTTTATTCTGTCTGTTTAGTGGAGAAGTTTTCAACCACGTTACCCCGGTTTCTGCAAACACTTCCTGATTCTCCCCACCTTTCTTTTAATTCACGTCATTTATTGGTAAAAATCAATAAGTTACATCAGTTTAAAAACTGCTCTGACTGTTAATATTAATTAAATATCTTAGGGTAGCTCTCGTCTGGTTAGATTGTATGTTGTATAATTTAGGCTACCTCAGAGGCATAAGGTAACCATGGAGACGGAGCGTGAACGCGCAGAGACATTTTCATTCAGTAACACATGAAGGCGTCAAATTCGCCTGGAGCCTGGAGGATGCATTTTTTTTTAACTTAAACTTTGTGTAAAGACAATATAAACTGTATTGTTTGAATTAGTAATCACATTTAACATCGATAAACAGAATTATGTTGGAAGATCTTTTTTTTGCACTGTAATTCAAACTAACATTAAAATGTTTAGTTGAAGGAGACATAATCAGACTTACAACGTTGGGCTGCCCTTCCCTTATATTTTATGTTTGTACTTGTTATTCATTTCAATACTATACTACTTTAGTTGTCTATCTGTGGTAGATGCTCGCTTTGCTGCTTGAGATTTTCAAACAAAATGACCCATATGATTATTTTATTTAAGGATGAAATACCCAACAGGCAGCGATAAATAAGCCCCACTTTATTATCTAAACATTAAAGTCCTGTTTACATGTGTATAGCCTACTGAAAAATCCATATGAATCCATTTGTACATGTAATTAATAAATATGTAAACAGCTGTACAGAAAATTTATTGGCATTTTATTTTGTCTCAACAAAAATAAAAGTCACTTGTTCCAGCTTGTCAAACGGGATATTTAATGGCTGTTTTATTTCATTTGAAATAAAAACATCAGTGGATTTTGTTCGGCCTAGGGTATTTAAATAGGTAGGTTTACTTATACTATGAGAAATATCAATTTTATTCTTTAATATAGTTTTGCACAGTAATTAGGACTTCTATTGATATGGGAAAAACATCTTTCGGTACATCTCTTAAAGCAGTCAGGTAGTTAATGTTAAACCAACAACAACAATCATTCTGCTGTAATGTTGTGTTTTTACCTTTGCTATTTTAAGGTATGTTTTATTGATACTAATTCCCTTCTTATATCGTAGAGTGCAGGACTTTTTCTTTTTATAAAGTTATTCCTCATTGCTAAGAAACATTTTAAACCCATTTATTTTCTGTTCTGGCATTATCATTTTCAGGTCTCTAACTGTTTCCTTGCAGTGAGACACTCTGTCACTGCTCGCGTAATGAAATCAAACCACTGAAGTCAGTTGAAGACTGTCTTGGCAAATGTCACATGGACTCAATGGAGAGAAAACATGAGATTTGCGGCCCCTTCATTCCCAGGCGTAATGCTTTAACGAAGACAAGTGCAGAAATTGTAAGTGAAGCCAGACAGTCCCTGCGAGTCCCGTCCACCCAGAGACCATTTACTCCGAGAGATGGACACAGGCAGCTGTTTGGACAGAGCTCTGCTCGGGCAGTTGTGGACAACAGGCCTCCATCAACATTTAGGTTTGTTGCAAACTCAACTTAGATTGACTTACCGTTGTGAGGTTCTGTCATCAACAATGTGTGTCATGTAATTCGCAAAAGTTGTGATCTATTATTTTTTCTATAATTTTTTTCATTTTCAGTCTTCATGCTCAAAACTTTGATGCTCCTGACTCCAGGCCAGGTTCAGGGACTCGCCTCTCTCCTCTTGACCATGTAAGTTCTCTCTCTCTCTCTCTCTCTCTCTCTCTCTCTCTCTCTCTCACACACACACACACACACAGGTATGTTAAATAGTACAACCCGTTTGGATTAAAAATGTAGTTGTCATTTGTTGTAATCTGATGCTGATATTTGCAACTTTTGATTTTATACCATGAAAACAAAAAAAAAATAGGGTATACACTTCTCTGATCCCAAACGTAAAAGCCTTTTTGCTTTTCATGAAGTACGTTGTTATGTTAATGCATTGATGAAAAAAGTGACTTAATAGGCATGACGTTTTTGTGGAATCATGTCCTTGATGTATTCAAGTTCTGGCGTATTGTTCACGCCATCGTATGCTGTGAATATGTTTCTGTGGTACCAGAAGCCAAAGTTGCCAGTCCCCTACGATGCTGAGGATCCATCCAGGGCCTTGCCCAAACCCCCCACTGACCCACTGGAAACAAAGAGGGGGTTGGCAGGCGTGCGGGCACGACTTCTCCGAGCTGGATCTCTCACTACATTACCTCCTGTAGAGGGAAAAACAGATGGTACGGAATGACAAAGAAAAAATGTCTGAGTCATTGGAGAAAAGGTGTTAGATATAAGAGGTTTATAGTTAGTGATGGAAGGACACATAGGAAAGTGCTAACAACAGTGAATGCATTTGTTAAGTAGGTTTAATTAAAGGACAGAAGAATATAAAGCTCTGTCTATTTCATCCATTGCTGTAAATCTTCTGTGCAGGCACTAGTGTAGGAGCAGTTTTCTCTAGAGTAAATGAATGGAGCCTTTCACTTACTGACATACCTGATTTACATTCTCTGTGGTTGAGTTGAAATAAAAAAAAAGGTATTTTACTTCTGCTAATATTTATATAAAATATAAAGATGACGAGTGTGTTGCCTGACTTCACAAAATAATGACACTTTTAAAAAAAAAAAACTTTTAGCTTGTGAAAGAAACAGAAAACTGAAAATACTTACTTGCCACATCCTCTCTATGTGTTAAGTGAAACAGGGATTGAATGCAGGCCCAGGACAAAAGCAGCCTTCAGCTAAAAGACTCTCCAGTTCAGACCACAGTGGTCACCACAAACCCGGCCCACGCAGAGCGGCGAGTGAAAGGTACACTTTCTGTCCCTCTGTTTGACTTGCAAGATCTGTTCTTCTCACTCACCCGCCCCCTCCTCCCTCTCCTGCACCCTCTTTTTGACCAGAGTGACAGTTCAACAATGAGTTAAAGATTTATAGGCACACAAAGGTTGCAATGGTAGCCATTACTAGATGGAGTTGATTGTGCCTCCTGTTATTGCTTTTCATCAAATCTTCCACCGCCTCCTCCTTTCTTTCTTGCCTCTATCGTTGCAACGGCCCTTTTACGTCAGAATCCGTTTCTAATGTTTTTTTGTGCTCCTGTTTTAGTTTGTAACTCATCTAGACCAATAGAAAGAAGAAAGTGTAACAGGATAAGAATTAGTAAGGCCTTTCATAAATATTTTCTGTTTCATTTGGTGCTCAACACATGAGACTTAAATATAAAACACAGGCCTGGAGACTGATATTGAGCTCACATAGATTAGCATGTTTGTTTTTTTATTTGAAAAGGACTCATCAGACAAATCAAATCTAGAGTGAATTGCAAGGGTTATATTTTTTATAGATAGCGTTTCAAAGAGTTTAAATTAGATTCAATTACCATCACTTGAACAAACCAAACAGTGCAAATGTTCCATTATGACTTAAACCTGTAAAAGAATGTATAAAAGGCCGTAAGGTAGGGGATTAAAAAACATGATTTCTTTTTTATAATAAGTGTGGAGGGTGGACATTTTCAAAAATCATCACTTAAGTTTTGCCACCTTGAGTGGTACAGACAAGTTAAATTTTGGGGTCTGGCCCATGGACTAAAACTGCTAGGCCATCTGTTCCCCAAAATATGTTTTTTTTTGTGTTTCTTTATTTTATGAAAATATTTTCCGAATGAAAAGAAAAATCCTGCACACTCCTCGGCATTACCAATTTCATGGAAAAAATAACAATATATCCGTCCTTCTGAACAAGTCAAGTGTGTTTTCGAACAATTTTCCCACCATGATTTTTTTTTTTACACACCTTCTTCATGAGATACTTTGATGTGCAAACACCTCCTTTAAAACATGAACATTTTCTACAGCAAAAGGCTTCAGAGCAACGGGTTACTTGATCCAGGGCCAACACGTTTAAGAGCACTTACAGCTGCACATACTGTACAGTATATGACCAGCAGTGCTACCAGTAGCTAAAAGACACAATACGTTCTCTATCCTGAAACACTTTGCCTCATTCTAAACCTCGTATTTTACTGTACACTACTTCTTGGTCATCGTTAAATCCAGCTTCTTGGAAAGCTTCATTCCAGATGAAACTGCCTCTATCTGTCATCAGGATCATGTGCCAGCTTTTACACCCTCGCAATGCAGAGATGCTTCGAGCTCTTCTCTTTTCTGCCGACCTCATCAGCTGCGTGTCAACATGAGGGGCATATCTCTGGGTGTGAGGTCGAGGATGTCGTTACAATCCATCCGCCTATCGATTGTGGGGTGGGGGGTTTTAAGGGGGACAGACCGTAAAACACTTTTACAGGAAATCTTGGCGATCTCACCTCCTTCCTCACGAGCCAAGTTAACATGCCCTATTTGTAGAACTTGTTGCTGGATGATAAGACTAAAAACTTCCTTTTTCTTGATCAGTGTGCGGTCAGACTTTTTGCACGACTGTTCCTTAAGCAATAAAAACTTGACCGAGTGAAAGCTACAGTGGAAGTCAAACCAGAAGTATACTAAATGTAAGTGGAAAAAGACACAGCTCGACAGATTAATGTGATGAGTATGATGAGATTTAAAGATAGGAGAGATTAGACATCCACTAGGTTCTTTTTCTCCAATAAGCCGGAGCTTTATAGCTCCAAATGGCTCTCTATTAGATTTGGGTGCCCATCTGGGCAAGGCTGGCAGCAGCGCGTGTTGTGACTGCAGTGCACTGGCCAGGCCTAAGACAGGGATGAGGTCATGTCTCAGAGAATGCAGCATCACACAAAGAGGCCTTATTATCAGCCTCTTAATCCTATCATACAGAGCCAAAGCCCCCTCTCTGACATTTACTGTAACATGCCTTGGCCAGCACTCCCTGCTCTATATGCCCTCTGTGCCAGCTTGTACAAAACACTACATTTCGTAAGTCAAAGTGGAAGCTCTCTCAACCTGCCTTTCATGTGTCTCTCTATTTATCAATCATTATTTTTATCACCTTGTCCTGTAGTAATAGGTCAGAACACAGAAATTATTGTTTGTAATGTACCAGTGAATCACTCTTTGTTTTCGAGTGGAATAATGCTAACTTGACAGTGACAGGCAGAGAGAGAGAAGCAACGGTGACATGCAGGGGGCAAGCCACAACACATAGCTTAGCACGACACAGGGCGTGTATTTGGAGGCTCTTTACTGTTACTGCACAGTGGAGACAGCTCACAGTGACAAGGCATGAACAGCTCTAACCAGACTGCCCACAAAACTCAAGCTGTAGGTTCCTGTCTGTTAGAGAGTGCAGTACTGATGCAAACGCACACCCACACAGACACAAAGAGGCAAAAAGCCCCCCAAAACCTACGCACACACAAACACACATATATCTGAAAGAGCTTCAATGTTCCTTCACAGAAACCACACACACTTTTCAGATAAGTGCAACTGTACACATGACCCAACCTCTGCAGCAACAGGGACACCTAGTGGCACTTTATGAAATTACACTTGCATGTTAACAGAATACAAGGTCAGCTACTTTTAAAGGAGATGCATTCTTATAGAAAACAATTCATACTATAAATATGATGTTTGTCTTTAATTTTGCATTTCTTTTCCTTTTTTATAAAGACAAAATCAGTACTAACTACTTTCAGAAAATAAGTCGTCACCTGTCTCCAAAGTATGATGTAACAAGACTCTTTGTGTTTTTGTGTGTCTGTGTTCCAACAGCAGAATAAAACAGCCTGTTGATGACTCAGGAGCTAAACCCACAGCGTGCAGAGCAGAACAAAGAACAGGTTTGTCCAAATATATTAACTTTCACTCAGTTATTTTTTAACTTATTGAACAAAATGTGACATTTCGTAACCGATTAGACATGTAGTGATTTTACATTTATTTAACTTGTATTTCTAAAGCTTAATGACCTTTAATATAAAAAAATATTGAGGCCAGAAAAGTACAGCCACACCTCACTCCGTACTGAACAACCCTTCCTAGTGTCAAACTTTGATTGGTGCTGTTGTTGCTAAGTGTTTAAATTCCACCTTGAAAGGCAGCCAGCCAATAACTGAAAGAGCTGTTGGTTTGGGCAACCACAATTTCCTGCATCACGCCAAGCTATGGGACATGCAAATGTTCAGCTAAAAAACGGTGCATGACGTGTTTTAGAGTCTGCAGAAATTCACTTGCACAAACACAGACGCATGTTTTTTCCGCCTAACATGCACACACTCACATGCATATATTATTTCACATCAGCACAGGCACAGATGTGAGATAAGTTGTAGCTGTGGATGGTGACCTTTCATTGAGGCATCAAACTTCCTGCTGTTTTATTTTCAGACGGTGAACTTGTGAACCACCCTCACAGCACATGTTCACTGTCTGGGTTTGAAGCAGTAATTTGGCTAACTGTAATGCTCTGTGCACTTTTCAGAGCTGGGGCCCGAAGAGAACACCACACGCACAGAGGAGGATGCAGGGGCAGTGGTGTGGAATAATGTGATTGCTCCTCTTCTGCAACAACTAGAGAGTGTGGCTGCAGGTAGTGTGAAAAAAGCAAAAATTACACCCACTAAATAAAACTGCACACATGTAATTTACAGTTGTCTTTTCCAGATCCAGTCATTTAATCCCAAAGAATATAACGTTTCTGTAACCTACTCCCTTTTGACAACATGTTACCTCGTTGAATTCACAACAGGGTTGCAGTGATTAATGTCTTATTTTTTTCAGTGGCCTATTTCTCTGTGTTCTTATAACATGTTGTTTTATCCTAACAGGCTAAGAAATAAATCCTTAGCACTGGCTGATAGTCATGCATGCAGTCTCACAAAGTGAAAAAACACTGTCGTTTAAACCACTGAATAAAAGCAAACAAAATACTGTTATATTTGGCATCCATGCAGAACTGGCTTAGCTTGAACTGCAGTCTGGCAGCCATGAAATGAAATCTACGCCTGTAAATATTTTAACACTCTACAAATTTAATGGAAAATTCATTTGAAAGATAAATGTTAAATATTTATTGTACCAAATGCATTCTGGCTCATGCATAAAACACCTCTCCGATTCAGTGGGAAATTGCAGTGAGAGTGTTGAGTGTGAAACTGCAGCCAACATTTCTTAGAAATGGCCAGACACAGTTATTTATGCTGGGGAAAAAAAACATTTTAACTAAAAAAAAAACAAGGAAAAGACTCCACCCTTTCTCTTCCTCTGCGTCAGGATTATTCTTGCCTGTTGCAGAATTGTTTCCTTTTATTTGAACATTGAAACTAGGAGCTGCGTCAAGGAGAAGGAAGGGAATGTTCTTTCCTTCACTGATGACAAATATGTTCTTGATGTTAAGGATTAAGTTTCTCATGCAAATAATAAGTGTACATCATGTCATAGAGCTAAACGTTATTACAGCAGCATACCACCACAGACAGAAAACATCACTCACTATATTTATATTGATTTACACTTACCAGTGGACAGAAGTGGGTGTTTTCCTCATGAGATGTTTACCTTTCTCTTTTTCTCATAAATTGTTTTTCTTAATGCAATATCTCTGCCAGGCAGCTCTGCGGGTTCTTTGGACTGCCTGTGTGATTTGTGTGACAGTCTCCACAGAACCTTGGCAGAAGCGGACTTGCTTGGCCGTCGCTGTAAGAGGAGGTCAGGGATACTTCGAACACTGTTCCGCCTCATCGACCTCAACTCTGCCCAGCTCAACCTGCAAATTGCGAAACTATGCCTCTCTGTGAGTCGTCCCTGTCCCTGTGTGTGTGTGTGTGTGTGTGTGTGTGTTTGGGTTTCAGCATGTCTACCTCTGAGCCTCCATCCCATGGGCACCTAAGACAAAAGTTGTGTTAAGTTTCTTGATGTTTCTCTCCAGCTGTGTGTCAGCGGAAAGAACCTGCTGAACATCTGTAAGCTCGTCTTCCAGATCAGCCGCAGTGAAAGTAACGATGCCCTCTTCCAGAACAGCTCCATCATAGGTGAAGAACACTATTCTTGATCAGGATGATCTATAGAAGCTCAGGGTTACATTTCTAAAAACGAGCACATAAAAGTTACGTTATGTAGTCAGTTTAAATAAACACAATGTAAAACACTCTTTTTACTGTGCTTTTGTTGGCTAGATGTTCCCAACATTAGGCCCCAAGGGCATAATGTTATCTTCTGGACTGGGTGAAATTTAACATCTGTTTTTCAATGTCTGGTTCAGTTTGGTTCCTTTTTTGGAAACCCTTGTAAAGTTCCTGACCGATTTTGTGTGGCATATGTTTTTTTTGTAATATGATTTTTCTCTCTGTCTAGACTCACTCCTGGGCATTTTGAGCAGCGAGGACGTGTCTGACTGTGGAGAAGCACTGCTGTACTCTGTTGGGGCTCTGAAGTTTCTCTCAGGAAACAGTGCAATCCTCAGACTCCTGCTGGACAAGAACTGTATCGGCATTGCCCAGAAACTGATCCGGAGGCTTTGCAGAGCAGAAGACAGCAACAGCACTATAGCAGGTCACATCCTTGTACAGGTGTGTAACAGTCTAAACACTGCAAAAAAAAAAAAAAAAAGAAGGATGATTTAAATACATCTTTGAAGTCATGGGGTTCAAGGGGTGCCAGTAGCCTAGTGGTTAGTGTGGGTGCTCCATGTAAAGTCCTCCAAGTGCCCGGTCCGTGTTCAAATCCTGACTCCACCTGTGGGTCCTTTCCTGCATGTACTTCCTAATTATCTCTCTTTCTCTCTCCCTGGTTTATGATTGTCCTATATCTAAATAAAGGCCTAAAATGCCCCAAAATAAACCTGACAAAAAATGACCGAGGTACAACAGTCATTATAAAACGGATTTACTATTGTAATTCCCTTCTTGCTGAAAAAGCTAACATATGGCATGTATGTATAAAAAACAGTTATACTCAAAATTTGATATAAAAGACCACAATGTTAAAATCTTTTTGTGTTTGTTGGCCTATGTAAATTTCCCCTCTATTTGACAAAAATGTTTTTGTTTGTGTCTGGTAGAGACTGCTCCAAGGGCATAATGTTCTCTGCTGCCTTGGCCTCTTGAGTCTAAAACACACCCCGCTTCCCTTTTCCAAAAAATGATTGCTGCTAACCGCATAAGTTGGCCCGAGCAAACATCTCGAGCCAGCGCTTCGTTTGATATCTAACACAAGTCATTATTCTGTTAGTAGAGGGAAATAAGCAGAGCATGACTTTCCAGAACTTTCAGCGCTGCCATGTGTTGGAAATGACCATTTACCTCTTTTGAGAGAATGATTAATGTCTGTGCTGAATAGTTTCCGGTCGCTCTGCTGTGTGGCGTCCTGCACATGCCTGCAGCCAGCCTTAATCAGCAAATGGCCAACATGGTGTGCAATCCACAACAGCACAACACTGATGCGTCAGACTGACCCAAATGTAAAACCTTAGGTATAGTTTGAATGTATGTACACATTATATCTCAAAATGCAACACCTCTCTTTCTCTCTGTTTGCCTGAAGCTGACTGCGACCTTGAGGAACCTTGCAGATCATCCAGATTCCCGTCCACTCTTCGTCTCCTTCTATATACTCTCAGAGCTCTGTGATGTGCTGCATCTTCACCGAAAAGACCAGGACATCTGCACCAACATTTCCAGGATATACAGGTACCACACATACACATCCAGTTCCCAAATTAAAACCAATATAAGGGCGTCATTTACTCTGCCCTTCTGCTCTCAGTTCATCCCATAACTACAGACACCTTCTTCTTTACACTCTTCTTACCACTCTACATGGTGACTTTGTTCGTAGTTTGGACAAAATTAGTGTAGAAAAAGGGGCTGTTTGTCTGGCAGGATGTGGTTATCTTCTGTCTCTATGTTTATACAGTTTGAAAACACACGAGGTAATGAAAAAGCTCTAGGGTTAGGGTTAGGGTTATTGAATTATTACTCTTTTATTAAAAAGGTCTAAATGGGAAGTACACACATGCAAAGTCCTTCTTTGTGTGCAGTTTAAAGTTATCAGTCCTAAAAAGAAAATAACATTTTGCTGAATGGTGGCCAGTGAGGTCACAGTCATGGGATAATGATAAATATTTAGGGTTCAAGGAATATTTGAAAATATAATGTGTGTAAGTTTTACTAACAAAATCCCTGAATCCCTCTTTAATTTTTTTGTGACAAAATAATACACTATGTAATTTGAGTTTACCAATCCCATGGAAGAAGCACTTAGCCTGAAGCGTTCTGCTCTTGAGCTGAACCTGTCAGACACCTGACTTAAACTTATCCTTAACTGTGTACGCCTCATCTCTTATCCAACAGTGAACAGTGTTTCTCACTTTAAAAGAAAACAGTGGTGTGGAAGACACTTGTAATTGTGACATTTTGTTGGGGCAAAACAAAGTATCGGAGGATTCATATTTTTGGAAGACCTCGCCTTAACTGTTGGAAAATGATTAACTTGTACCAAACAGAGTACTATCACACAAACTATGGACTGACTAGGTCACCATCTTCATATTGAGGTGTTTCAGCCTACCCTGGTAGAAACACCTAAGCACTGTGTAGACCATGAAACAAAACATGTGATGCCTTAGAATTGAATGAAATGTGTATTTTCATTACAAAATAAAAGACAGAGACATTTCAGTGCTGATACAGCGGACAATGGCCACGATAGTGAAATAATTAAATGTAGAGTCACAGTCCTGGCCTTCTGATCTATTAGCAGTGTTGATTTAATCTCTCCATATTTAGTCAGCAGAGCGAAGCAGCCGGTGAGTGGAATGATCAGAGGTATTTGTTGTCCTCTCTCTCCCTTAGTAAACTCTCCTCTTACTCTGAGTGCCGCCTCGCTCTGGCCCAGACCCCCGACTGCTACCAACTATTTTTAGACCTGCTGAGCAAACATCACCAAAAACAGGTGAGTCCATGAGTCGCCTCTTCTTGTGTGTCTATGTTTGTGAAGTAACTCCACTCAACATGTTTAGCCACAGAGCAAGTTTATTTGCGAGTATGTTCCTCAAGTCCAAGCACATCTACAGGACATTGTGTCCCTTTGCACGTAACGCTCGTGTCTGTTTCTCTGCCCGACGGTGTTTGTGGTGTGTGTTTTGACATTTAATCATCCTAAGAGGGCTTGAGTAAGACGAGGAAGGGGGAGGAGAGAAGGAGGAGGAAAAGTAAAAAAAAAAAAAAAAAGGAAGGAAAAAAAAAGGAGAGCGCTTGAGTAGAGGTGAGACAGGGGTGAAGGGGAGGAGAGATAGATGAGAGGAGAAGAAAAGAACGTCACTTTGGCATCAGGCATGACTGACATCTGTTCTTAATCTCATATGAAATAAACACACACCCATACCTTCTAATACACGCACACACACACACACACACACACACACACACACACACACACACACACACACACACACACACACACACACACACACACACACACACACACACACACACACACACAAACACACTGGATAGTTAGATCTGTCATGATCCCTGGGACAGCCTGTTCTGTCCTCATACCAGAGTCAGTGTGTTTGTATTTTGAAGCGAAGAGTTTTTTTCTTTGCTCACCTGCTCCTCATGTTATTTACTAAGTAGAGTCAGGATACATGGGTGACGCACATGGTGTCATTTGTAACCCTTTTTTTCTCAGTAAGAGAAGTGTGAGATAACGCACAGGAAAGACAGAGTAGTTATGCCCTAACATGTCTTCACAAGTGTTGACTCATAGACTCACAGTGTTAAGGTGAAGTGCTTGTTTATCTTTAAACATTAAATGCAATTGTATTCATTGTGTTGAATGTGTTAAAAGATAATGATCATTCTCAGCTGCATCCCTAAAAAAAACACTTAATGTGGTGTCTGCACAGATGTGTTTCTATTACTGAATAAAACTGAATATTTATGTGAATTTGTTCCCATCCCTGTATGGACTTTCAACAAAGTTTTACATATAATGAAATAAACACGTCTCGCTTGAATTTAAACTGTGAAACAAGCATCAGAAGCAGATTAACCTCTATAGTTCTCTGCCCCGCTGTCCCACAGGACCTCGTCGTGCGGCTTCTCTTCACACTCGGGAACCTCACAGCTAAAAGTGATGAGGCTCGCCAGCAGCTCTTTCAGTGTACCGGCTGCATGGACACACTCCTGAAGTTGTACGACGGCTACCAGCGCAGAGAAAACACCCCGGAGATGCTTCAGAGAGGTCCTCCTTCTCCCAGAATGCCCTCTACACTGCAGGAGGATGAGGACGTGCTGGTGAAGCTGGTCAGGTTGCTGGCCAACATGTGCATCCACTCAACTGTGGGTCCAGCTCTGGCAACCAATACAACCTGCATTCAGCTGCTGATGGAGACACTGGGTAAGCAGAGACAAGGAACAAACACACTTGAGTGGTGAAATTGTTTGTTTCTTAAGAGAAAAATGAAGATTCAGTCAGCAGCAAATTTATGGAGGTAATATTTCAAGATTTGTCCTTAAATGTCAGTCTGTATCATACAAAAGAAGTAGTGCGTGAACATGTGGAGTTTAAAAATAGCTTTATTGCATTGTACATACAGCAAGCATCTGCAGGCAACCAACCACTTCCCTTGTGCTGGGAACAACACATGGTAAAATAACACAAACCTCATGTTTCTGTTCATATCATCGCTTGCTCTCCTCAGGGGTTTCTGTTCAACAAGCAGCACATCCTCTTTTAGTCTATATGTTTGTTTTTTTCTGACAGTACGAAGCGCTTCGCTGCATAAGTAGAATGTTCTGTCTCATCTCACGGCCGACTTGGTGTGTGTGTGTGTGTGTGTGTGTGTTTGATATTCTCCCATGTGGTTAGATGGTTTCAGGACAGCTGAAACACAGGTTGGTGTGAAACTCTCGATTTCCCCTGCACCATCCTCCCACACGCATCTTCATGGCAGATGGGGGGGAAATTAAACAAACAAAACAGAGGTCAAAGTAGTGAAAGAAATGTCAACTCTCAGAAGAGAGTTGAGTGTGTAACTGTTTCCAGAGTGTAATATTGGGAGTAAAACAAGTACCAGTAACTGAAGACAGAAACATAAAATGAGTGATTGATAAAAAAATATGGAGCTGTTGTGACACAGCTGGAAGCAGAAAACAAAATGTCTCTAGAGAATAAAAGTGCACACTCAGCCAGTCAATGTCCTGTTTTGATCAAGCGCCTGATGAGCTGTGCTGCTTTACATCACAGAGCTTAAAGTGTGTGGGGGTGGGGGTGACAGAAACTGTAATATCTGCTATTTATAAGCGACCACACAACATCTGCTGCTATATCAGGAACAGGCTCAGTTTCTGAGCTGCTTACTGTGTCATGACTGGTTGCACTGGGTCACACTGACCTTAGTTTCCCATCTCACACTCGAAATGATCACATCAGGACATCATAACTACAACTTGTGTGATTATGCCACAATATGGGACTGTCATGGGCAGGAAGGATTAATACCAAGCTGTTTCTCTTCATATATTTATCCTATTTGAAGACTTCTGTAACTCTTGTATTCATCCTTATATTTAAAGATAAGTTTTTACAACTTTATTGTGTTTGAAAAACATACAACTTTGACAGGTTGCTGTTGCTGTATTGATTCAAACCCTCTTCATTTTCTCTCCTTTATCAACATTAAAGGATGTGAAGCTTTCATCTGGATTCACCTGGTTAGTCATTGTCAGGGAAAAAGCTGTTTTTCTTAACTGCTTTGTGAATGAATTTATCATGTACAATAAAATGGGAAATGGTAATTAAAATGACCTTCAGTCAGTCACCAGAATGAGGATCCCTTGATATAAAGAAAAGTGGATGGTAATATTTGAGGTGCACGAGAGCCTCTTATTGTTGACCAGCAGTGAAGATGCTCCCTCTGTTGGCACATTTTTTTAATAGGAGGGATTTTAAGGAAAAATGAAAACAATCAACATTTCTGTTTAAAACAATGTTCAATGAAGGTTGCATGTACTTATGACTTTTTTCTCTTTTTTCTCCCTTGTTTTTTCTTGTGTGTGTGTGTGTGTGTGTGTGTGTGTTTGACACAGAGCTGAGGAGTGTGCAGGAAAGCGAGGAGCTGTTGGTGAATGTGGCTGCCACCATCAACAACTTGTCTTTCTACCAGGAGGGAAACTCTGTGCTCACACACAATCAACTCACCCTTTCAAAGTGTATGCCAAAACATTTAACTGATCTTAATGCGTAAAAAGATGAGAGTGTGTGATATTTAAAGTCTTTTTTTTCATATTCCTGATTTTGTTCTTTTTTTCTATCCCATATTTACTTTCCGGTTTCTCTTTTTTTTCTACATCAGTGGTTTTGAAGTTGTTGCTCAGCTCAAGTATAGACGCAGTGCTGGAGGCTACACGTGTTTATGGAAACTTGTCACAGTCCAAGGATGTACGGGACTATATTATGCAAAACAAAGGTGAGGTGTATGTGGGACGGGAGCACCAGAAGACATGCACACATCCCTCCAACATGTTTCTTTTCTGTTTAAACAATAGTCTTCAGAGAGTCTTGCAGAGAAGTTGGAGTAATAGAACCAACATTTTATATAGTTCACATAACTTAATTGTAAACATTCTTAGGTAAAGGTGTATAAGTCATCAAGGTACCCTACATAGACTGTCTGGTACAGTGGGCACCACTGCATACTGTTCTGTCATGTTAAGGCTAAACTTATCTGCAAGGTTAGCCACAGTCTGTATAAACATACCTGCTAACAGTGTTGATAGCAGCACTCTTCTCTTTGCCCTGTTTGTCCTCACTCTGCTCCCTCATGCCATCATCTCTCTCTCTCTCTGCTCCCTCTCCCTCAGTGCACCAGTTTCTAGTGATGCTGCTTGACTCAAAAAGCACAGAGATGTGTTTTTCAGCCTGTGGGGTCCTCACCAACCTGGCTCTGGACCCCCCCAGCAGGGTCAAGCTCTCACTAGGGGGGGCTGCTGCCAAGTAAGGACTAAAGCACTCAAAGAGTTTGTTTGAAAGTCACTGGAACAGTCTTGCCACTAAATGCAGAAAGGATGATGAAAAGGCAGATTTACTGTGTCTGAAAAAATACTACTGGATTCAACAATATGAGGATGTCAGAGAATATAGCATCTTGTTATTTGCAGCATAAAACCTTAAAAAGTCAAGATATGACTGATCCATTATGGGGGGGGGGGGGGTATGAGTATCAGCATGTATTCCACAATAAATACAATAACTTTAAAAAAATGAGTAGATGCAAACTGTGAGATCAACCGATAACTTGTGCGCACATGTTTTGCACACAAGATAATTATGTTGTGTGCACAATAAAGTCATCTTGTGTGGATAAGTTATTATCTTGTGCACACAATATTATTATCTTGTGCAAACAAGTCATCTAACTTGTGCACACAATAATACCTTTTTACAAAAAATATAATTATATTTTGCCCACACATAATTGGCACACGAGATCATTTTATTGTGTGCACAAAATTATCACTTTCTGGGACTTTAGTGGCTCCATAAGGATGTAAAAAAAATAGCAGTATGTGGTGAAATTTATACAGTATTTCATTTCCAGCTAAACTATGCTAGGCTAATTGACATAGCTTTATATTTAGTAGGCAGAAGTTGGTGTCAGTCTTCTCATCTGAGGATTCTTTTATATACAGGTATATATTTGCCAAATGTTGAACTGTTCATTTAAAAAAATGTTTCTAAATCCTTCTGAGTATTTGGCAATTGTAGCCTTATCTTTGCATCAGAGTTTCGGGGGGAAATGTGTTCTTCATTTTGAAAAAACGTGATACAGACATGCTGGCTTAGACAAAATACTAAAATACTATCTCAATCTCAAACTTCATTTTTATTTGTTCACAATAGCAACAGAAAGTTATGAACACAGATTTTTCAACTAACATTAGTTTGTACATCTGTTGTGCAAGTCTTTCTTAATAAAAAAAAGGGCACTTCTAAAGCCAGGTGTGATTCTCCACACACACACACACACACACACACACACACACACACACACAGTCCCCTCTGAGATGTTGGTCCATTGAAGTGAAGCTAATGCCAAAAAACCTGCCGGTCATGTGATTTCCTCTCTCTCAACTCATCTTGTGTGTGTGTGTGTGTGTGTGTGTGTGTGTGTGTGTGTGTGTGTGTGTGTGTGTGTGTGTGTGTGTGTGTGTGTGTGTGTGTGTGTGTGTGTGTGTGTGTGTGTGTGTGTGTGTGTGTGTGTGTGTGTGTGTGTGTGGCCAGGCTTGTGGACTGTCTGAAAGACTTGGGGCCCGGTGATTGGCAACTGGCAGGCCAGGTCTGTCAGGCGTTGTGGAACATGATGAGTGGAGGGTCGGAGATGCTGCTTGACTCAGAGGAGAGAGACTCGCTGCTGGAGATCCTCATTACGTACTCAGGTTGGTACACAGTGTTATCACTAATCCTTACATAACACGGGAGGCAGTCTACATGCTCATCACATCAGGGGCCTTCTGAGGGGAGAGGAAGGAACACACATACTCCCACTATCACTAACACAATATCACTATGGTGACATGAGGGAGCTGAAACCATGTCACTGAAAAGTAAAAAAAAAAAAGAATCCATAACTCATCCCTTTTCCACTTTTCTGTTTTCTTTTTAGATGATGATGAGGCTCTGAGGTGGATAAAGAATGAAGACATGAGGGACTACCACAAAGCATGCTGGGAATTGGAGTTCCTACCTGTAGCTTCAAAACTGATAAAGACACTCAAGCCTCCAGACCCAACAGCATGACAAAACTGGGACATGGAGTTAAGAGTTGTATGTCTTATATTTAACACTTACCTCTGATGAGTTTGAAATGCAACAGTAAATGTTTGTGGTTTTATTTTTCCATGGAGGCAGAAAGAGGTGTGCTTGAGATTTGCTATGAAAAAAAGGCTATAAAAAAATCCTGTAAAATGACTCAATCTGCTATTAGAGCTTTTCTGCCCACACGATAAGCCATGTGTGCAAAATGATGGCTTAATTCTCGGAATTTAAGCATAGCATCGATGCTTTATTTCATAAAGTATAAAATTACATCTACTTGTAGGCCCTCACTTTGAAAGCATGTGATTAAAAGACGAGGCGTTAAAAGTGGCTAATAAAAGTAGATTCAATTTAAATTAAATAGAAAAAAATATATGAAAAGGAGCAGATTTTAATTTCAAGTCCATATATTGGAATATTCCCATGCCTTTGTTCATTTATTTTTGTTGTCCTTTGGTTACTCTTGACCTTTCAGTACCAGCAGCTATATCTTTCTATTTAATTTTTTAACTTGTACTTTTGTTTTTATGCACTTTATGATGTTTCCTGTTGAGCTCACAGAAGCCTTAATCTTTACATGTACAGGGATCCTTTCATACAAGCCCTTTGCACATTTATATTATAAACTCAATCTGTTTGTTCACACACTGTGTTGTAAAGATTCTTTTATGATAATGTACTTCCATTGCCCGCACAAGGACATCTTTTATAGTCGGTGCATTCTGTGTCATTGGAACTTGAACACAATGAAGCAGAACAAAGTGAACTTCTTTTTTGCTTCCCAAAGCCTTTATTGGTACGTAGATATGGGGCCAGGCAGTGCTTACAAGTTACACCAAGTAGCCTAAAGTACAGCATTTCAAAATCACATCTTTATTACATCAAAACAAGTCAGAAACGGCACTTAATGTAAAAACCCTCAGTGTCAATTCCCCCTATTTTCACACAATAGTGACCTTTAAACAACCACAAGACGAGCTGATGTTTCAAACACCTCTAAACAAACTCATTAGCCAGAGCTAATGACACACATTGTTCTCTACATGAATTCATCAGGTTGATATGAAAGACAGTTGGCTGGCTGATATCGCGGTTTTTAACCAATGTTTCCTATTCAGTTTGTGGCATGGGAAAGCCACTGAAACATGAAGGCAGTTTGGTCAGTGGGGATAACGCTGAGGTTGACAGATGGCCTTGATGGGAAAACACCCTGAATATCGGACTGATAGGCTGCCTCACTGGGTAGAAGACAGAGCTATCCCAGAGAGGTGTGACGTGTAGGCAAACAGAATACAGAGGTAAGGTATCCTACAAGGAATTCCCCCTTATCACGATTTGAATGTTGGTCAGCATGAGCAAAGAGAAACTTTGACCTGGAGCGCATCACAGAAACAGGGACAAATAGCAGACCCCCTGTGAGTCATAGTCATCATGCTTGTACAGTAAAATTATTCACATTGAAGTCCCTGGACATTTGAACTGTTCCCCTGAGCTCAGCTTTATTATCAAACAGCTGAGTGTACTTTGGAACAAGGTGATGAAATAGCACTTTTCACGAGTCATATTTTTGCATAACAGTAGTCATATTTGCTAATTACCATGGATTGTTTCATTTCCTATAACTGCAACTGATCTGATGGTGACGCCGATTGTGCTATGACTGCTTTAGATCCTGATAATGTCGTCCTCTCCACATCCAAATACAATCTCTACGATGATGCAGTAAAATCAAGTTAAGGAGAAAACTACGAATGATACACAACAATTTAACATCATAGTTTATTTTTTTTCATCTTTTTTCATATAAAAAGTGTCAGTAACTGACATCAGTCAGAAGCTTGAAAAAAAAAACCAACCTCCATTTCCTCTCAAACCACTTCCAAATGTACCATTCCTTTTTCATCCTCCATCTCACTCATTCATCCGTCTGATTCTCTAAATCCGCCCTCAGAAGAATGCAGTACTTAACTGGTTTTTAGTAAACATAAAAACAAAAACAGCAGAGGTTTCACACCTCTTCAAAATAAAATTAAAAACAAACAAAAGCTGCTTTTGCACTAGTTAGACTTCCCCAGTAGGGAAATAAGCACAGCTACGACCGCAGTCGGCCCTGTGTGGGCGTGCCTCGTCCCCGAGCAATGAGAACACAGCACCCCAGAAAGAGTCTCTGCTCACCAAAGAGCACTTCTTATATGTTTTCTAGAGAAAAACAAGAGGTATTCATTTACTGGTAAAATTCACAATCCAAAGCTTCAAAAGTGTTAGGGTGACCAGGCAGCTGGGATAAGCGGAAGACAGATACTGTGTGGTTAGGACAACCGGAAGCAAATCCCTCCTGGAAAAACCTGGTTTCTAACTCTCCTTTTGATTACCCCCCTCCCCAAACATTACCAGAAAACAAAAGAAAAATCATCAACATACACAACAACAACAAATGATTAACAGTTATCTCACAAAAAAAGAGCTACAGCAGAAGCAAGAAGTCTATCCTTCAAAATGCCTCGCTTTTTTGACACATAGACATACTTTTTTTGTTTTCATCCACACATCAGTCATCCATCATCCACTCGAGTAAAGTCAGACTCAAAAAGGGGCTCAGACAGTGTTCTTTGAGTTTCTCTCCACCCTCCTCAGATTAGCTTACATTGACATTTGAGATTTGGGGTAGGGGGTAGGGGATGAGAGGGAGTTGAGAGTAATGAAGGGGATTTCTAATGGATAGGGGTGATTTTGGGGATCAATATGACCCCACTAAAAACAACATGGGAGCAGCAGCATCAGCACGTTTGCACACTGTGCTGGATAGTTCAGGCACACGTAAAAAAAAAAAAAAAAAAAAAAAAAAAAAAAAAAAAATCTGACTTAAGTTTGCGCTTCCATGTCCAGTTACCACATCAACATCACTTCCCTTAATACAAAATGAAATAAAAAGACTCGAAAGAAACTAAACATAAAACAGTGACGATAGAATCAAAGTGCAGACTGTTTGTCGCTGCACAGCATTCTGGGGATTTTTTTTCTGCAGGTCTTCACTCTACCAGGAGATGGAGGAGATGCTGGACTACTGAAACGTCATCCTGGATGCCTCCTTATCAGTGCTCAGAGCAGGAGTTTGCTGCAGGCCGCCCTCTCTTGGTCAGTTTGGTACTGCAGGCAACACAAACTGAGTTTCGAGTATCCACTTGTAGGTTGAGAAGACATTCTTCAACAGTTCTTTTTTTTTTTTTTTTTCCCTCTCTCATTCATTTGTTCTGATCCTCTTCTGGACATCCATCCAACAAGCTCCATCACAACCCAGGGCTTCTCACATCCCCCCTCCCCCCCTTTGATTTTTTTTTTCTTGAGGTGTCCCATAATGAACAACAATGACAGTAAAAAGACAAACGATAAAAACGCCAAAAAGCACTTCATGTCATGTAGCGGGTGATCGCTCTCAGAGCGTATAACAGTTCTGCTTGCATTCGCGCTTCCATAAGAAGCAGATTAACGTGGACCTGCAGAAGACAAAAGAGAGAGAAACTATTAGGCACTGTACATACAGCAAGTAATAAACTCGAATAGGTGCTACGGATCAGGATCATACCTTCTCAGAGTGCTGAAACTGCCTCCAGAAGCTCTCATACATTCGTTTGGTGGTCTTCTCGGGACTACACACCATGGTCTTGATGTAGATCTTAAAGCTACGGTCCAGAAGTTGGTTTATCTCCCCGTAATCATAGTCGTCATACCTGAGACATCCAGAAAAAAAGTGTGAGAATACACCGAAACCTCACTGGGCACTTTTTAAAAAAAAATCTTACGACATGCTGACAGCAACTGACCTGATGCCGAACATGCAGTGGATGTAGTTCCAGATGGCCCTGCGCAGCATACTGGTGTCCACATCCTTGTGCGTTGCCATGGTGTTGTAGGTCAGATTGTAGGCCATCTGAAACTTTTCGTCCAGCATCTGACCCACATCAGGGTACAGTCTGTTGACCAGGGAGAAGCCGTGATCCTCCCAGCTGTAGTCCTTAAGAAAAAAATGAATAAATGGATACATATCAGTCAAAGAGATCTGTTTTTAGAGGGCTGTTCTCTACATTCAGGTGGGCGTTGGATCTCTACCTGCACTCTGAATGTGGGCACGTGCTCCCCCCTCCTGGAGAAGTCCTTGTAGCCGTAGCTGGGGTCCTCAAAGTGTCGGGAGATGTCCCTGGAGGGCACACATTCCTCTTCCTCCGCAGTGACGACCAGCATGCTCTCCGTCTTCTCCCTCTCAAAGCGTGTCGCCATCTCCTCCTGGCTGGCCTCCTCGTCATCCCGGCATTCCTGCAGCTGCTTCATGCGCTCCATCAATACCTCCACCTCGCCACACATCTCCTATAAAAAAAAACAAAGAGGAAAAAACCCAAAAGTCAGGGAAAGTCCCAATTTTCAGGTAAGGAAAAATTCACAATATCCTTTTTTTTTTTAAATCTCTCTTAAGAGTCTATTAAGTACCGACCTGGTTGCCCAGTGGATCCTCATGGTGATTAATGTGACCGTTGCCGTTAGCAATGTCACACACGCAGAACTGGCTGAGGGAGGGGGGTCTGAAAGTGTGTCCGCCGTCACAGTGGATCTCAGGCGTGATGCCACATCCAAAGGTGAAGGAGGCGAGGGAGTGGTAGTGTGTAAGGAGGACGACGGCATGGATCAGCTCTGCCAGGGACCAGCTGTGTTCCTCCGCCTTCAGAAGACGCTGGAAAAAAAATAAAGGTTGGGTCAAATAATGACCTTTCAATGACCTGCGGTGAAGTTGGAAAAACCTGATCGATTTCCTGTACGGTCCTTTTTACAGCTACTTTTGTTCGCAAAACTTCACCTCTGAAGCTTTAAAATCCATCAAAGTAATTCAGCTGCAGCCTCCACCCATGATCTCAGCATGTTACATAATACACTTTCATGTCCTCATCCACTCTCCGGACTGATCCCACCCTCTCACCTCCATGTGTTCCTTGGTGAGAAGCCAGGGTCGGTGGGCCAGGATTTTGTTGAGCTCTCCGAGCTGCTGCAGCTTCTGTGGGGCTTCATCGAGACCCTTTAACCATTTGGGATCGCCACCAACCTGGAGGAAGTCGTTCACGTGCAGGTTGACCAAGTAGGAGCACTGGTGTCTAGCTGCCGCCTGTCAGATGACCGGTAACAGAGATGTTAACCACTGGAAAATTTACATTTTTACAGTTAAATGAGGCATAGATGTAAGTTTTCTGGGGATAAACCCGACTGTACCATGATGCCGATGTAGTGTCGGTAGTGCAAAGATAGGGGTCCGTCCATCTGCAGCAGGTAGTGCTGCGTCCGGAGGAAACCCTCCAGGTACTGTGGGTGGAAGCCCATCACCAGGGATATGTTATCCAGGCGACCGAGGGCTGCAAATGCATCCTCAAATATCGACTGTGTCCGGGCATCCACTTTACTGACTTTGAGAATCTAACAAAAGAAAACAATAAATAATGGGTTCATCACATAAATGATACATTTGTAAGTTATTAAAAAAAAGTCCCAGCTGGGATTACAGACAATCTCATACCTCTTTCTCAGGGATAAATCTGCTTGGTCCGTTTCCTAAGGGTCTTGGGATCCGTATTCCCAAGTCCTGCAACACAAAAAAAAAAACGGCGATAAGAAACATACACATTAAAAACCGCAGGAAAGCAGAGGAGAACTAACAAGCACGTCGAAAATCACTTCTCATTTCTCCTGCAGTCCCTCAGCTGTCACTTTATTGCTCCATCAGAGTGATAAATCAGAGTGGCTTTGTTTGTATGACATCAATAAACCTGCTCTTTATCCTAGTGATAATTAAAAAAAAAAACATAATATTTATAGACTAGGGTTCTCTCCGCGTTAGAATCTGTTTTTTTTGCAGAGTCACAATAGATTCAATTCACACAAAAAAACGGAATTGCACTTTTCCGTTTAAAATTGTTAGAAGCGTCAGCACAACTTTGGCAGATAAAATCGCCAAGGGAAAATGTAAAACACAATAGGAATCTTTCACATTGCCTCTATCATTGCCCTGTAACTTTCCGCTGCTTGTCGAGACATGTCCGAGCAGTGGACACTATCCCGCAGAGCACAATGAGGCAGATGAATGAATGACTAAGAAATGCAAATTATTCCGACTTGACACAGAGTTAAAAACATGTAACTGAACACTTAGTGAACGTGTCCACTTCTTTGGACATGAAATGAACAATGAAAAGATAAAAACAAGACAATATCTGACCCGTTGACCACGAACTCTTGTTACTGGTAAACAAGCAGCAACAAAAGACTGCACTGCAGCTTGTTTGTCCGAAATGAAAAACTTCGCATAAAAACGCCAATAATAAAGAAACAATCTACATCCAAACGTCATGTTGAAGCATCAAACTGTGCTCTTTATTTAAAAAAAAAGAAAGAAAAAAAAGGATGTTTTCGCTTCTAAGGCTTTTTCTGTCTCTTACCTTTTTGCTAAGCCGTTCACAATGGGTACATATCTTTAACAGGCTTGTCACTTTAAAAGAATTATTCTCCACGTTCGCTGCCGGTGTGACCGCGTGCCTCATCTCGTATCCTCGCTGCACTTTGATTAATTTAAGGTGTAAAAAAAAAATTAAAATTGGTATTCTGGGTGGCTGTTTCTTTGTTCCTGGAGGCACTGGGTAAAGTGCTCGGCAGTCAGCTGTTGCAGCCCTGAAGCAGAATACCGACCTCTCTCGCGCATACATTCGGTAAATAAGTCGAGGCTCGTGTGACTGACGCGCTCGCTGACCAATCAGGGGGGCGATAACAGCCTCCGGTCCACCAATGGCAACTGAGAGAAGCACGTGAGGGTGGAGTCAACCGATTGGGCCCAAACGTGAGCAGAGAGAACAAAATCCCCCTCCTCTAAGAAAACATCATCACTTCTCTCTGCTTCTTTTGTTCCCTGCTGCCATTGATCATGATTGAATTTACTGTTATGCAGGACAGTCAGTGTGCTAAATAGTGGCATTAATCAGGGTGATCACTGATTGTCCTCTCCAATCACTTTACTCAATACTTACTCAATACGTAATGGTATGGAGAAACCCTACTGCAGTTTTACTAGAAATAGTTTTCTGTAAAACTTGATTAAAGAAAAGAAACAATGTGTGTAAAAAAAAAAAAAAAATGTGTGTGTGTGTGTAATGTGCATCTGTGTAGTGTGCATCCAGTAAAAACAACAAGCCAAAGCCAGCACTAGCATGCAGCAGAGACTAGGCTCCAAGACCCCTCTGACCCCCCCCCCCACCGCCCCCCCCTTATTGGTGTCTTGCTGCACTAGGTAGGGGTAAAAAGAGCCCTCGGCTGAGGAGGGTGGAGAGTTTGGCTGTGCACATATCTGCACGAGAGCTGGATCGCTGCAGGACCTGCTGCAACAACAACAGCCCTTCAGTTAGTGGTTTTGCAGCGCAGCCTATCAGACCACAGATAATGCCATTCCTCCTCCACCAATCAGGCTCGGCTGAAGGAGTCCTTTAACAGCCAGGAGGAAGCAGAGATAAGGAAGGCAGATCTTATGGCTTTGTTTATCCCAGCTTGACAATAACATGGTCACACTGGAGCAGTGTATAACTGTTTTATCACACCATAGGAGGTTAAAAGTAAATTATTACAAGAATGTATCAAATGAGATATACTGACAACAACATTGTACTAAAACTTTTATACACATTAGCTGTGGAAATGTTGTGCACAACAAGTGGTGTTTTTCTTAGAAACTTCTGGAAAGCAACAAAGCAAACTGTCTAGTTTCGCTAAAAAAGCACATGCAAGTCAAGTGGCTGATCGTCTGTGGAACAACATCAACCACATTACAAAAGCATCCACTTATTGGCCCACTTTGTTGTGCTACACACATGCACATCTGTGCGTCATTTTCCGTGCGAGATTTCAAAAATAACATGTTTTCCAAGCAAACGGGCTTTTCTTTCCCCAGATTCCACAAAGGCTCATCTTATGGGAGCAAAACAACAAAATAAGGTTGAATTGTAAGAAGAAGAAGAAAAAAATCAGATACTGTGCGAGCTTTGTTTGTTTTTTTGCGAAGCAGCAATCCTGGTTGGATCATGTTTGGCTGAACTGTGAAGGGACCCCAATAAAGAAGCAGACAAGCACATAAAAGTTGGTACTGATGAGGACAGGATTATTAGCAGCCAAGAAAAGGCAAGTCTGCCCCTGTGCACTGTGATCCAGAGCCTGCCTGGCCAGTTCTGCAACTGACTGTTCGTCGGATAGCACAGTATTCAGCAGATTCATTGTGTGGAGCGAGCCAACCACCCCCCAAACCCCGTCCCTCCCTCCCTCCCTCCCTCCCTGGTCCCTCTCCTGATGCCATAGGATGGGGTGCAGGGCAGTTGTAAACATGTTCCCAGGGCTGGAGTCAGCACTCCCGAGGCTGCTGGGAGCCCCATGGCTCAGCAAAGCTGCAGAAGAGGCTGGTCAGCGTTAGGGGCTTACGACACACCAAACCTTTTACATAAAAAGCGCTTAGGCCTCACAGACAGGGCCAAACACCATTGTCAGAGGGCTCACAACGACTGCTGTGTGAAGCTTTACTGCACCCACATCAGGAGTATGTATGTATGAGTGCAGTTATCCAGACATCTGCTTCTTCTTAGATCAACACTGATTACATCTTCATTTTATCACTGCAAAGTTTCACAGTTGGTACAAAGAGGAGTATTATGTAAAAAGCAGAACTTGTAAACAAGTTACATGAAGTCATAAGAGGCTTTTGTGATCAAAGATGAAGATTGAGAAAAGCTCTGGACATTTCTTTTAGAAAAAGACCCTTGACTGGATGTGTTTTTTGTTAAACCACACATCTAGTTTCAGTCCCTGTAACTTAAACTAAGTGAGTTGAACCTGCTTATTTCATGTCTCCAATATTAAATATATTAAGATCATGAAAACATATCTGGCTAGAAACATTGACATATTGTGCTTAGCTTGTATTAAAAACCTGTCACACTCTGTGTCTATTGTGGTAACTTCAGTAGCATGTTCAGAACAGCGCGACCTTCGCGACCTGTGAAAACCACATTGCAGGTGTCTCAGGGGAGTCTGAAAACCTGCAGCTGAAGACGCCTTAATTATCTGATGTCACCTGCAGTTAGTTTGAATGTTCATGTTTTTGTAGCTTATGCATGCAATCAAATGTACTTTTTTATAAAATTCAGTAAATGGAGAGACTCATTTACTGTTATAGCAAATAAACCAGCAACTGTGTGTGTGTGTGTGTGTGTGTGTGTGTGTGTGTGCCAGAATTTCGCCTACGTCATTTAGTTTTGGGTAGTCTGTTAATTTGGGAGAAGTGAAATGATAGCGATTTTTGAGTTTCTCTAAGTTTATGTTGTTTGCAAACCAACAACAAAACAGTATGTGAACTTTAACTTTCCACCCATGTATGTATTTAAGAATGGATACAGCATTGGAGGCGGCGCCCTGTTCATTCCAATGAGCTGATGTACAAGATTTATATATGTCTCTTTCCCAATGTTAGCTTAAGGGGAAAAGTATTTTTGGGCCCAATATCATCCCATGTTGCAGCAATACTAAGCCACCATGTAAAATTGGCTTCAATGGTCGGCTCACTTCCTGGGGGCTGATTCATCCCTGAGCATCAGGTCAGAGGAGAATGGCTGTCATCTGAACATGGTGACAATATAACAGAGTAGTGTATGTGCTCTAGAAGTGCTTTTGGAAGTTTCTATGGATATTTTCAAGGTTTGTTTTTTCACTTTAAAAACGATACAGTATGAGAGTTTCAAACTGGAAAGGACGAGTAGCTAAACTAAAGTGTGTAATAGCCTATTCACAGCTTTCAGTCACATAACTAGCGCGGAGGGCTGGAGGGAAACTTCAAACGCTAGAAATGGCAAAGTAAGTGAAAGTGTCCCAACGAATGCCTCTTTGTTAAACTTTTTAACAAAGACATATCTAATAAGTATTTTTGACATTATAAGATGAATAGAACAAAAAGGCATTTGTTAAGGCAATTTCTGTTGAATAACACCAGAATGTCACTTCAGTGATGTTCGCTTACATTTAGAATAGATTCCTCTCCTTACACTGCTGTCTACAAAAGTACAGACAGTTTTATGTACTTGCACTGTCTGACTCAACGATGCCCATTTGGGAAGTGAAGGGCAAGAAATAACCCGGGCTTGTCGCTGCATCGGTTAAAGCATCACATTCAACAACAACTGTCAATCATTTGAAAAATTAAAACAAATTAATAAAAACGTGGGTGGCAATAGAGACCAATAACATCTCTGTAGCGTACAGCGAGTCTTTCTTGCCTGCCAGACGCGCAGTTCCATTAGCGTGTGACGTTTCTCCAAAAGTTTTTTTATTAAGCGGTAAATAATGTTCACATTAAGTTTAAGTTTTAACCCTCAATGAACTTAACGCTGGCCTCACACTTTACATGTCACTAACACTGCTGTTGCCATGGCACATGAGAATTATAAAAGGTGACAACTTTTACAAGTCTGAACTTGTTAAAATTTGCAGCTGCACAAAAAATAGTTGCTTCTGTAAGAGCTAATACATGAAGTGTGACTGAATCCACAAAGTTGCTTGACT